AATAAGGTTGGCGGTATTTTCACGCTTTCGTCTGATGATTATAACATTCCGAATCATAACGTAACGTTATAACTCGTAACTGGTTTATAGCTAATATATTTTGACATCTCTAAAAGAAATCACGATTGAAAAACTTTGCGTTTATCAATTGGGCAGTTATTTCCAATATTTTCAATATCTATTTGGTAATGTTATTATACACTCGGGCAGTAAACCTAGCAATTAAACCTGGAAATATGATTTTGTTTTGCATTGAATTAAAAAATGTCCACCATAATATATTGTAAAAACCTTTCCAAACCGATTTAAAGATCGTGACTGGGCATAATTTAGTTAGTGTTTACACTTAAACCCAATTTCTACCAATACAACCAATTATCGGCCAATTAATGGTCAAGTAGAACTAGGTAAATGGTGTAAAAGTTAACAAAAATTGGACCATGAACTAAATACACGACTGAAAAACAAGGCTTCCATCATCCTTATTATCTATTGGGTTGGTCTTTCCAAGAGTCTTACAGATGGGTTACCTTATGTTTTAATGTCAAATTAAGCAAACTATTTGATTGGAATTCTGCTGATAATCTCTTGTAATTTAGCTAATTATGAATTTATTATGGACATTCCAAGTCATTAGATCACCTCTACATTCTATTCATATAAGTATTAGCATTTTCATTTTCATAAATGAAAATATGGGAACTCATCTTTAATAATCAACATAAATTGAGCACTAAAATATGTGATTGTTTCTTTGGAAAGACGCCAGCCATTGTATATTGTAAGAACTTTTTCAAAACGTGACTGGGCATTTATTTACTTCGCGTATACACTCAAACTCAAATCTAATTTTAACCCTACAATTATCTGTCTATCAGGAATAGTCAAGTAGAACTGGGTTAATGGCACAAAAAGTTGCCCCTAATTGGATCACTAGTTAATATATCAAATTATTACAGATCTTAAGTCTAAATTGACAATCACTTAGGCGTTATTTCAGTTGTCTTTGGTTCATTTCCGGTCTGTAATAACCATTACCTGACAACAGGATTCAGTTACTTCCAGTGTCATTTAGCGTGACCAGTCAATAATTTAAAAACGTCATATCCGGAAATACTAAATTTGAATCGCAGAACTTACACACACCTCCGATTTATCCAGATTGGTCAAAAAAATATAAATATTTGTTTATAAGACCAGTAGAAATAGGAGTAGGTAAAGAAGCACAAGATATTGTTACTCATTTATTTACTATATATATTGTTAGTCTTGTTATATTATTCACTTCTCTTGATAACACTGTCTGTATGAGCATGTGAAACGTTGAGTTAATAGATGTCAGAAATAGTATATCTATATATCTTCTCTTGATAACACTGTCTGTATGAGCATGTGAAACGTTGAGTTAATAGATGTCAGAAATAGTATATCTATATATCTTCTCTTGATAACACTGTCTGTATGAGCATGTGAAACGTTGAGTTAATAGATGTCAGAAATAGTATATCTATATATCTTCTCTTGATAACACTGTCTGTATGAGCATGTGAAACGTTGAGTTAGTAGATGTCAGAAATAGTATATTTATATATTTTGTGCTTCTTTATAAAAATCTGTGGAAATCTTCTACGTCGATTGTTCTGATATTAGGAATGTTGTCTGAAATTGAACTATAATTCAGGCTAGATTAGTCAAACCCGATATATCAGATATGAGAACATTAATTGGCAATCCTCGTTTGTTTCTGTAAAGTTGAATCTGATTCAATAGACCGTTTGTTATTATAAGTGCCAACTCAAAGATTCGCTCAGAAGATGTTTTTCACTCCAATGCTCTTTTTATGCCATAAATCATATTTATCTAGTATATCAGTCGAAAATAATGAATACATTCTAATTTTATTCTTATGCATTATTCGCAAAGTAAATACATTGTAAGTAAAAAGATTGATTCTCCCATTGGGATGGAACCAATACTTCATTGAGAAATTATTATAGCTTATGGCGTTTCCTTCCTTTCTGTGTCTCACTTAATTTGATATTTACTTAAATCAAATTGTTAAAAGAGAGTCTATTTTAGATATAGTAAGATAAAGTTGGTTGTATTGTCATGCCAGTAACCAATATATTGAAGTCTACTGCCTCTAATTGACTGTAGAGAGTCTTGATTTACTTCTATTAGATAAGATATAAGACATCACTGATTGTGTTACTGACGTATAGTGTCTTAAAATAGAACCCGAAATAAATCACGATCATCTAAAATGTCCACCAATTGTATAAAGTTCTTTAAATTTTAGTTAAAAATCTGTGCAGCATATTGGTGTTAGGAAATTAGTGTCTTGAAATAGGACTGGGACTAAGAAGGATCATTCTGAAAGGTCAATCAGCTGTAATTCATTCATGATAGCTTCTTGAATGGTGATTCCTTTATTTCATAAAGTCTCATTTGTGAACTTGTTTGGTTATGATGCTTCGAAACGGTGTCACCATTTCTAAGTCATCCAAGAAAGGTTTTGGAATGGTAATTCTTATAGTTAGAAAAAAGTTTTATTTGTGGTCAAGAACGAGCTTTGATTCTCCGAAATTCATATAATAATCAATTTCAATATTGATATAAATCATTATAGGACCAGCATGTCGCGCATCTGAAATGCCCATCAGTTGTTGGTCATTCAGAATAAGGATTGTGGATTGTTTAGTTATTATTATCTTATTTGTAGTACAGTTTAGGTTCAGATGCTTCGAAATTAGTGTTTAAAAATAGAACAGGAAATAAACACGATTATCTGAAATGTTGATCAGTTGTTGGTCAGCCAGGAAAGGTTCTGGAAAGGTGGTTCCTCTAGTTTAAGTTAATAAAGTCTTATCTGTGGTCCAGACTAAATAAAGATTCTACCAATTTGATGTTCAAAGACAGGGCTGGCATGCCGCACATCTAAATTTCCATCAGTTGTTGTTCATTCAAAATAGCTTCTTGATTGGTGGTTCTTTTATCTAATAAAGTCGAATTTGTAGTAAAAATCAGTTAAGATTCTCCGAATTTGAAGTTCAAAATCGGCCGGAATGCCACGTATCTGAAATGTCCACCAGAATAAGATTTTGATTGCGGTTTAATTAGTTAATAACGTCTAATTTGTAGTCCAGTTTGGGTTAAAATATGACCAGAATCACAAAAAAGTTCATATCTAAAATGTCCACCAGTGGTTGTTCATTCAAAATAGCTTCTTGATTGGTGGTTCGATTATTTAATAAAGTCAAATTTGTGGCTAGGTTAAGATGCTCAGAAATCCGTGTCCAATAATAAACCACAATCACAGGCATCTGAATTGTCGAGCAATCCTTCAATCTGTGTTCCAAATCAGAAAAATGATGAGTTTTAAAAGAATTGATTAATTCTAAAATCACACAATCAGGATAAGATAGTTTGAGTAAATAAAGTCTAATTTGTGGTCAGTTTGGGTTATTATGTCCCGAGATTGGTGTCCAAAATTAGGACCACAATTACAGGCATCTGAAATGTCAATCAATCTTTGGTCATTCAGGATAGGTTCTGATTCGATGGTTTCTATACTTTGAGTTAATAAAGTATAATTTGTGGTCAAGATTGAGTTAAGATTCTCCTAATTTGGTGTTCAGAAATAGACCGAGAATGCTGGGGATCTCAAATGTTGACCAATCAATCAATCAATCAAGCTCAGTTTCTGGTGATATTGCCTTTTTATGATCTAGTTTTGTTGATGATTGGTGTGTTTACCGCAAATAACAACCATTTAAATTATCAACCATTGTTTGACAAACGAGATAGGTTTTTGATGGTTGGTTCATTCAAGAGTATTTGTTTAGTGGTTGTTTTGCAATTCTTCAACACAAGCTATTGCTGATCTATAGATGCCGTCAGGCCCCAGGACCACAAAACATTTCTCATCCCCAGCTTAGTTTTTACTCTAATTCATTATGCCCCTCGCATTAAGAAAAGGTAACATGTGAAGATCAATGTGATAATGCTAGTAACATTGTGTCCCAAGAAATATATTGATACACTTTTATATACCTGTCGAAGCTGCTTCAGATTTGAGTAAAATCTCAGCTTATATATGAAAAAATGTGTGCCCTGGGGGCGGACTTGGTTAATGGTTAACTGATGCAAGCCTGATTTGGCTAATGGACACCAACAAAATATACCATAACATCACGTTTAATAATGAATAATCCAATAATATTTTAAAACAATGAACATTTACAAACACCGCCTGGTTTCATTGGTTCAATTTGTTACAGAACAGTTGGACGTTGAACTTAATTTATATGTTTATTTGGCTTTTAACAGAATAAAGGATATAATTAAAACCGTTAAATTTCCCGTTTCTGAGACAAAGGTACGTCTGATAATTCTCAACATCGACTCAAAAAGGATTTTACAGTCTATTATTACACGAAATGCGAGCTAATACTTTCACTCACTGATTTTGTTGACGTAGTACAGCCGTTATATTTTTTAATTTTAACGTCAACAATCTAAAGAGCGGACGGTCTTCATTTTATTTTTGGTTTATCATTATGTAAAATGTATATATATAATATATATGTATATACTAATAACTTTGCCATAAACAGACATATTTTAGCCATTTTTTTTTGGGGGGGGGGGGAATTGTCCTGTAGGTACGGGCCTGACATGTTTCCAATCAACAAGAAACACAGACGTCCGACTGAAAATTGGAATGGTTCATGACGATGCTATCAAGTAAAGTTTATAAAACCTCTTTACAACCCCATGTAATACGTGTACCTTGTGCGACTATGTGATTGACCGGACCAGCTACCATAGGAACTGGTTAAACCACCTCTAAGAGGGCCCCTACTCCAGAACATTTACAAAAGAGCATATTATGTTGAAAAAAGAAATTCCCGAGGGAGGGGCCCCATTCATCAAAGTGGGCCACTGCTTTCTCTCCTCATTACCAATGTTTTTCAGTGTAATGTATATCATGCACTTACCTGTGGTGACAAATCCCTTGTAATAACCAGGGCAGTGTTGTCTAACTAGAGTATCAGCCGGTACCTCATCCCAACACAGTAAATTATCAAATATAGGTGGACAGTGTCTCTCTCCGTCTTCACTCGTACCATCTACAATAAAACAAAATTCAACATTAACAGTTCTTCATACAGAAAGTAGATTAATTTCCAAACATTGAAATATAATCAGCAGGCCCGAAATATCGTCAGTTTCAGATAATAGTACATGGAATTAAAAACTCTGATTGGTTGTGGTTAGTTTATCAAGAAAATCATTCAGATACGAGTGTCAGTACAGACTACTGAATAACTTGATCCTGATCCTACAACCAACTACCTATCAGCTTCTGCTGTGAGCAGATTTATACATCTCGACATCTATTACCTAGTTTGAAATACCAGTTTTTGTTTGAGGTATACGTTAACTTGACGTTAATTACCAAGACTACATCCAACTACCTAGTCTGCGATATCAGCTTCTGCTGGAAGTGGACCAACCAACAAACTGATACGACGAATTATGAACATCTTGAAAATCCCCAAGCGAAGTGTATTGAATTCAGATCAACATATGTTGAATATATTTAACTGACCAATTGGAGCAATGAATTCTGTCCACAGAAATCGCAGTTTTCAACTATTTTGGTTTTGGCAGATATTTAACCGAATAAGAATGACCACTGAATACTATCATTGTGCCAAGTACAGCTTACAATCTAACTACTAGTTGGGTTTAGGAGGCAATTTGTAACCCTTTAAGAATCATAGAAGAAAGATGAGGATATTATGACTATTAATAAAGTTAATGATAAAGATATAACACTAGTTTTATTATCCCGTCTGAATTCCAAATAATATTATCTTCATTATATTAATTGCTCCTTACCAGGCCATTAAATCAGACACCCTTCCCCTTGTATTTTAATTACACATTAGATGGACATGGCTTCTGTTTTTAATTATTGTTAAACGGTTATAATGTAATTCCGAATGCATTTAATTGTGCATTTAAAAAGCCATCATGGTATTGTTATCATATTGAGTTTACAGGTAGATAAACTATCTCATATAAATAATACACAGCTTAAAGGGATTGTAAAGAGATTTTCTAAACTTTTTATGTGTATTGGGAACACTGATAGCATCAATTTACATCATTCCAATTTTCAATCGGATATCTGTGGTTCCTGCAACTTCACTAAAACTCAGCGATTTAAGACGTCACTTATCGCAAAGGCCTTATGTGATAAAGTATATTTAACGATTAGCGACTTCATCGAACACTTACCTTTATTTGAATTTCAGGAACCACAGAAGTCTGATTGAAAATTGGATTGATGCAAATTCATGCTATCATTGTCCCCGATACACATTAACAGTTTCGAAAACCTCTTTAAAATCACTTTAAAAGTAAGAGCTTCTACTTAGACAGAAACCTGCTGATTCCTATCTGGCTTTCAAGATTTATTGAGAGATGTCGGCTCTAAGCCCGATGAGATAAAATATTCTGTATAGTGAAATCTAATTCAGATATTAGACCTTAGCTTTCACAAGCTGCGAATGTTAAAAATCTCTAGATGATTGGAAATTGAATAATAGAAGGCTAATGGCTCAAGTCTGGACAAAATGTCGTCACAGGCAACATGTGAAATAGCAATTAACGACTTCAAATTCCTGTTACAATGAATAATCTGTGCCAACTATGTTTTTATCCAAACTCTTATCTTGTTCGCTAACCTGAAGATCCAGGGTTTAAATCCCAGCATAGGTCGAGATAATACCTTCGGATGTTTCATTCAGACAGTCATGCAGGTAAGAGGGACTGACGTGGAAAAAGCGTCTAGTCTAGACAATAAACCGAGGCCTCGTGTGCTACAGGGTGTGCACGTTAAAGATCCCTCGACAGTTGGAAATCGAAAAAGAGTGGGCTAATGCCGCTGTCCTGGCAAAATTACTCTCATTGCACCTTGCGTTGCCCGTCTTCATTTGCGAACATGGTGCAAAAAAGTTCATTTCATTTTTTTCCTAACTTTGATGTGCAATATTAATTATGATGATTGCGATTTTAGAAAATTGTTTACAATAATATGGTCATTTCTAACCAGCCAATAATAATTTGTCTACTGGCTCACCTCCAAAGCATGTAGAGATTTTTAAGGAGCAAATTGCCAGAAGTAGATTTATTGTGTGGCCGTTTATCTGATTTAAGACCAGAGTAAAGTGGACTTTGATACTTAGCATAACGTTGGAGATAGCTGAAGAGTAATGGTAGAGTCCTCCATTGTCCGCCATTATACTTTCGACTTTTGAAGCCTTCGAGACAAGACGTTAAAATACTTCGTGAACAGTCTTATGTAGGGTTCTTCAACATATATCCGAATAGAATACGAGCTTTGCTTAGATAGTTACTGAGATATGTGTCACTGGTATAGCAATTCATCATCCTCCGGAGACTGGGTTTACTCATTCTCACACTGTCAAGATATTGCGACATATACCTTGACTGTAATAGCCCAGTTTTGTCGAATTGAACGCCAGTAAATACAGCCAATCAGAGCCCTCGGCAGAAAGAGTGTAAACATTATGTTTGTTGAAAGACTTTCAGTCGAGAACTCTGATTGGAATATTCGCTAACGTACAATCCAATCAAATCGCTGCATTTACAAATTTCTGTGAAGCAAGAATAGTGTAGTCAAGGTATAAAACGCAGTTTGTAATAGCTTGACAATGTGAAGATGGGCTTTACCACACAATTGACTATACCAGGCAATAAAGTGCAAACCAAATTAACACTGTCGCTCTGTTATAATAGTGCATCATCTTTTTCTCCATGTTAAATCTCTAGCTTTTGAATAAAAAGTTTATTCTAGTGAGGAAATGTCATTTGGTTTAATCAAATTAAATCTCATTAAAACTGCATTCCCAATTCAACAATAACATTGACATTTAATACACTTAGCTGCATGTAATATGCATTAAATGAGCAGATACTATCCGCTTATCTAAATTACCGTTAAAAAGATAGGGGGCTGATTTCAATTGACATTTTCAATTACAAGAGAATTTTAATAAACTTTTCTCTCACATGACTCAATTACTGCAGATCGTGTGGAAATTACTGAATTCGTGTTCACTTCAATAAAGTTAGTTAACGGGAGGTCTGGTTTCATGGCCAATGGGTTTGGATTTTTTTAACGAGATTTTGTTAAAAGTAATTGATTCTGCTTGTATTCTTTTAAGAGGTTGGCTGTAGCTCTAAGGTTCTATGGCTTCATTCAGTAACTCCACTACCATAAGGAACTGGTGGATCCAAGTCCACGTTCCTCCACCCCCTGAAAATAGGACCTTAAGGGTTAACACACCATATAAAATGGATCACAACTTTTGCTGGGGCCTAACCAAGGACATGTCCTTAGATTCCGTCTCGGAAAACTTGAGTAGAGTAGCCGTAAAAAAGAACAAATATTTTGATTTACTCCCCCAGAGACAATTACCAGCTATCATGTCATATTACATAATTTACAATCATTGACAGAGCGAGAACAGGAAGTTGTAGAGGGGAGATGATCATGTAAAACATTTTCTTCCCATGGGAGAATTAACTGTTGTCGTGTGGAAACTACAAAACTGACTGTCACTAAACAATGATAGAAGGACACCACGGGTGAAATCAATGGGGGAATTAACATCAGGAAGTGTAAAGCTTAATTGACATTTATGTTCCGTATTTCAATGCATTCATGGCGTAAGAATAAAAAAGAACCAAAATGGCAAAAGAATAACAACAAGAAATCTAAAGACGAAGAAGAAATATTGAAGGTAAAACAAAAAGGGGTTCTTTCTGTAGAGCAAAAATGACATTTGTGTTATAAATTTCAGTACAATTCCCAATAAGATATATTAAAAAAAATGAATAACAATAAACCTAAAGGAGAAAACATATTGAACGTTAAACAGAAAGGGGGTTTCCCCGAGGTAGTGTAAAGCTTAATTAACATTTGTTTTTAATTTCAGTGCATTCATGGTGTATTTTGCAATGAGAAAGAATGAAGAATGTCAAATTTCATTTTTTTCTTAAATTTATAAGATGGAGATTTTTATGTGTATACCAATTTCACTTAAAGCAGCTAAATAATTGCAAAACGGTACGGTGCAAATGCGGGTATGTTTACTCTTCTGGACATTATTAAATATTTCGTCATTTATGATTGATATACTTCCTCATGTGAAAGTTCTACTTCCTGCTACCAATGCATTGCCATTATGTTGTTCGGATTTCGGGTCTCGTTTTGCGGTTCGGATCATTAGTACTTTTTTTTAATTGATAATCCTGTCCAAAATGTAGAAATGCAGAAAGATAAAACGTTTCGTGTGAAACTGGCCTTGATAATATCCTGACAAGAGGCATTATACTTGAATATTATATAGAAACTGTACCAGGTTTCCATAAAAGCTGTATAAATATTTAATAAGTTATTTGAGGATTCATTACATTAACTTAATTAGAAACCTTTCTAGTCGGATTTTACTTGTAATTGTCATGATATTATTTTGATATATACAGATATATAGATCGTTACAAACACTTGATATCTAACGTACTGACCACTAGAGAGAGGCACAGTAACATCATCGTCACACTGTCAAGCTATTACGAACTTCGTCTCATACCTTGACTTCAATAGCCCTTTCCATTTTCAGAAGTTTGTAAATGCAGCTATTTGGTTGGATTGTATGCAAAGGAATACAGCCAATCAGAAGCCTCAAAGCTAAAATCTGCACAAGCTCTGTGTCAAGGGTTTCGATTAACTGTATTCGATAGCTTACAATCCAATCAAATCGCTGCGATACATGATATCAAAATGGTGTGATTGAAGTCAAGATATAAGAAGAAGTTCGTAATTGATTGCCATTGTGAAGATGTAGAGATATACAAGTCCCATTTTGCTCATTTGAGCATTGTTGCTAAAACTGATCACCATTTAGTCAGGAATCTCAGAGTAAAACTTGTAGCAAACAGGACCTCGGTGTATTAGAAGATTTTCCATGTCAGTTCATGTCATCATTCACCATCATTGGCAG